CAGCCCCACCCGGCCCAACAGCACTCCTGCCAGAGTCCCTGGCTGCATGTGGTGGTAACATGCAGGGCCAGCCCAGCCCCATAGAGCGCAGCTCCTGCTTTCCCACCCTGTCCCCAGCTGCACATGGGTTTAATGCTAGAGATGAAACCTAAGATCCTGGGGCTCAATCTCCTGTATCAAACCCAAACCAGCTACAGATATGGCAGCGGGAACATGGCAGCCAATGTCCTATTACTTCAAGTGTTGTTAAAATGTGCTTGAGAGACCCAAGGAAGAGGGCCACACCCCTGCTACAGAGGAAGGCAAACTCCCACAGTCCATCCCAATCTGACCATGGGGTAGAATTCCTTCCTGACCACAAATATGTTGATCAGTCCAACCTTGAGTGGAAGAGTCAGGAACATCTGGGTTTAAGACCCAGCAGGAGCACTGATGCACCTCAGGCATAATCCCAAGCCTGGCTGGGCTGCAGCCAACACGCAATGCCTCTAAGGGAGGATTAAAAACACCCTGACATGTGTAGGCACAGGAAAGAAAAAAGTTCCTACCTGGCCCTATGTGGCAACCAGCAAAGCCCAGAAGCCTGGGGGATACCCATAATAAAGTATGGGCTACTCTGACAATGACTACAGCAGGTGTCCTAAGGCTGGGACTATGAGCAGGTGAAGGGTAGAAAGACCCACTTCAGCACAAGGGAGGTAACTGGGAGCCAGGGGGAAGGTGAGTAATAGGAATAGTGGAGGAGAAATCTCTTGTCTGGGTAGTGAGGGGACAGAGCAGGTTCCCTGTGTAGCACCCCCAGGGCTGCGGCAGGCAGTGGGGGATGGAAGGCCCGCAGTCGATGGGTGAGGGTTGATGGACTTACACTGGTAGAAGTAGGTGCTGGCCTGGTTCTGATGTGTGGTCAGTGCTCCCACTCCAGCTCTGTCCTGGTAACCTGTCTCTCCATCTGTCTCTGCAGGCTCTGCCAAGGCCATTGTGGTGTGACACAACTGGCAAGGAGTCATTGCGTGGCTTTTTGTTAGCAGCTTGCCTGGTGACTCCAGGGGTTGGGGATCCTCTTGTACAACACCTGCATGACAACTGCTTAATCTTGCTTCTAAGGTGGGGGTTGGAAAACAATGAGCCCTGCACCATCACCATTTGGGATAGGGATTAGCAGTGAGGGCAGGCATCTTGGGTGAAGATTTGCTGCCCATTGCAGGGAGAGTAGGGGTGGCTCAATGGAAAAATTCATCAACACCTGATCTAAGGGGGTGGTATCCCTGTAAGAGACTTCCTTTGACACTAAGACAGGGCTGGCATAGACTGAGGATATTAACATCTGCATGGTGATGTCATGGCTGGTGTGCATGAAAGCTCCCCACAACATTTCTGACAGAACTAAGCACTCAGGGAGTTTCAGTTTGATGTTAGTTATAATTTGTGATTTCACTGACCCAATAACAAGTGCTCAGGTCATGTTCCTGATGGGCAAATCAGCCTCCAGAGCACTCGCAGCAAATGAAGACATACTGAGAGCAGGTGGGCTTTCACAGCCTAACTTCACTCAGGCGAGGGCCAAGTACAAGTACTAGGGGTTTAAAAGAGGGCTTGAAACTTGCTGTCGGGGGGTGGGAGGCTGGGCTGGGATTTTGTGGGTCTGATTGCATGATAGACATGTGGTAGGGAGGTCTGTGGGACTCAGGCTTCCTGGGTTCAACCACCACCATCACCTTGACTCTGTCCCTAGACACAATGGCTGACCTTGTCCCATTGAGGGGCTGATGGTAAATAGTAAATACCTTTTGCAGTGCACTGGGTGCTGCACCAGTGGAGAGCAGGAAGGCAGTCCCCAACGCCCAAGATGGCAACTCAGCCTTGCAATGCTGTCCGGAGAGGTACTTGCCTTTGTGGTCACTGCAACTGGCTCCATGTTCCCCTTTCCCTTCCCCTTCCCCATATCAAGGCTAAAACCACTGGCCAGGAGAGGGATGAGCTGGAGACATGGGGACAGGCCGAATCCCTGGAGGACTGGCAGCCACAAAGCAGCACAGGGCTGGGGCCAGGGAGCAGCAGTGCTCACTTCAACGAGCTGCTGCCTAGAGGGGAATTTCTACCTCTTCTCCTACTGTGGGCAACTGGGCTCTGCTGGTCTCAAGGGGCTAGTTCCCAGTGTAGATACTGTCAATAAATGGAGCTCACTGGATCACCCCTGCATGAAAATAGCCCTTTATCACCAACCCAGCAAGTGAAGCAGGAAGATACTGGGACAGAGGCTCCAAGAGGCAAACACAACAACCCACATTGGTGCAGCCCTGCCTGGCCCAGCCCAGGGAGAAGGGCCCAGGTCTAGGTGGATCTGGGGCCCTAAAAAAGTCACCATGTGCACTGGGTGCTGCCACTCCTCTCCCTTGTGCCAAGCCAGCCGTGCCCACAAGCCTGGCATTCACTGCATGCATTACTGCCACAACTGCCCTCATGAGCACCTCATATACTCTCCTATGCCAGGCCAGGAGCCTCCCAGGCCCATGGTGCCAGTCATGAACATCATTACCCCTGCCGCAGCCTCTGAGGACTTGAGGTGGGCAATGAGGAGGTGCTTATGGCTGGAGAAGGGAGGCAGAGATGCTGGCATGCTGGAGGCATAGCAGGAGGGCAGAGTTACGGTGATCTGGGACCACAACAGACTCCACTCTGGCCCTGAGCAGCCCATAGGGGACGTGCCCAGATGAGGGGACACAAGCGTTGCAACACGGGGGCAAATTAGACCTCTGGATATCCAGGGATAAAAAAAACCCATAGCGGAAAAAAGAGGGGCAGGGCATGGTCCCGGACTGTGCCCTGAGGCAACCAGAGGCTGGGTCCTCCACAGAGACACTCTGGTAACACCCTATGGCTGGTCCTTGCCTTGGTGCTGAAGCACACTGCCTGCCTGCTGCAGGGAGCTGGACCTGGACTCCTGCTGGTAAGTAGTGGGTGTGGGGGCTGGAAACTCTGCGAGCCCTGCCCGCTCCCCCAGACCCCCGGATCACTGCCCCACCTGCCCCCCGAGCTCCCCCATGGCTGCCCTGCCCGGCCCCACTGTCAGCAGATTTGCCCATTACTTTGGGGTGTGCTCATTTATTATGGATAGTTTCTAGGGTCTTGGTGATTCTATCAATGTGCTGCTTGTGTTACTATACGGAGCTGTATCTCTCCCTTCTGCAAGCCCTCACCCCCAATGATGCTATCTTGCACGACTCAGTCTCAATGGGACTGGGTTCCTCCAGTCACCAAATCAGTCATACACACAAACACACACAAATTAACGTGACACGCCTGACCTGGCCGGGCTGATCAGCATGGACAGGCTGACACCCTCATATGCCAAGAATCAGTTCATAAGAGCAACAATAAAATGCAGTCAGACACAAGCACACAGGTAAACAGAATCCCTCTGAATCCGGCTGGGTGTCCAGCTGACACCCTCATGGGCCAGCATTCAGTTCATAAGGGCACGTCTGAGTCAAACTGGGTCAATCAGCCTATACAAGCTGATCCCCTTATGTGTTTCAAACTCAGCACGTCCCAATCTTTGGCCTCTTGATGAGCAGACCCCACAATATTTGTGGGCTTCACCGGGATCTTTAGCTTAGGTAAAAGAAGTGTTGTTGCAGAGCACGGGAGGAAAGAGAAGCAGAGAAGGAAAAATATACCCAATTACTACCAGTTTGACTATAAAAGTTATTTATTGCTAAGCATATGAAATATATAATAGTACTAGTAGTAATAGACATGCAAAAGAAAAACAAACACCAACAATGACAATACTACCCTGGTTTCACTAAGTATTTGGGGAAACTTAGCTCAAGCTTAACTGATACAGTTCAGGTTCAGAAGTTTATGCCTAGAAAGAAGACAGAGAACGCTGGGATCTCACCTAGTCCACGGTACTCAGGCTGCAAAGCTGACAGGCACAGTCTGTAGCACAGTCCTTGAAGGGAGAGATGATCTGTTCTTCCAGCGTCCCAAGAACGACAGGGGATGGTGTCAGCACAGGGGTTTTCTTCTTCTCCTTCTTTCCTCCTGCTTCTACTTCTTTTCCTTCCTTTTCCTCTTCCTCTTCTCCCTCTAGCAGCACACACACTTACAGATTTTTATACCCTCAGTTTAGCTGCTTCGAAGCACCCTCAGTAGTGTAAATCATTGTCTTTTCTATTGACAAGGGGTTATCTGGTTTGGACCATCTCAGGAAACTGATTGATAATCAGGAAACACTTAAGATTAGGGAGTAACCCAAATACTTGGGAGCCAGCTTGAGATTCCTATGGGTGGCAGATATACTGATGGGATATCTCATGGTTTCTTCAGGAACAATAGATAGCTTGCAGCATCAGGATTTTGGATTTTTACTTGTTGTGCACAAGCCTCAGCTTAGCATGACTTTTCCAGATCTTACTATAGTCTTTTAACAGACTTAAAACAATTATTGGGGTGCTCATAACCTTTTGTGGAGAGGACTCCCACCAGTCGTCTCGGGAAAGATATGACAACACCTGGGATTAGGGCTCCAGCAGGCTGGATGCTGTGATGAACCCTTAACCATTGTTCAAATGTTGCCCATACCCCCTCTGACTCGGTCTCTTGCCTCAGCATTCCCTAACCCGGCAACCGAGTTTTAGTCAATCAAGTTTCAGCTGGAGTTGGCTGACCTCCTGGCCAAGTGGCAGGTGTGCAGCAGGTCACAGCCAAGCAGCAGCCCCCACTGCCAGACTGCTGCAATGGGTAAAAGGTACAGGGAACTCTCAGGGCTGCTTTAGCAGTCCAGCTGGCACAAGGGGCAGTGTCCCCAGGTACCAGTTGGCCGGGTCCCAGAATCTCCTGAGAGTGAGTAGTCCTGAGCTACTTGCCAGGGCGGCTTTTTGTACTGACAGGGATAGCACAGGTGCTGGCTCCAGGCTCTAGCTCCCCCTGGCTGCAGATCCAGGAGAAGGCAGGCAGGGTTATTTTGCTCCAAATGGCACAATTTGCCCCACACCAAAGTGCATGTCCGAGCATGTGCACCGAGGCAAAAAGCCCCGGCTCAAATTTGCACTTCTATTTGAGCTGCTGCAAGTGTACGTGCCTGCATGTATGGATGTGCCCAGGAGGGCCAAGCTTAGGGAACACAGGGAGCTATCCTGGTGGGTGAAGGGAAAGGGGGTGGTTACCCTGTGAATGGGGAGAATTCTGCTGCAGCCACTGCCCTGGGTCCTTGGCAAATGGGCCCAGGAGGGTGAGATGTGGGGAGAGGTCAGGTTCTCTCAAGCTGTCTGTCTGGGACTGAATTTCCAGGCACACAGGCAGACGGTCAGAAGGGAGAGGCACAGCTGGGCACAAACCACCCTGGGTGAATAGGTGAACACTGCCCTCCCCAAGGCCCAGGCCAGGCTCAGGCCTCTGCCATGGGGTCCTGGGCCCAGCCCCAGGCCCCATCCCTGCTGCAGCACTGCCTCATCTGTTCTCCTGCAGGAAGGTCCACATCAGCTGATTGACCTTCTCAGGCTGGTCCTCAGGCACCCAGTGGCTGCACTGGGGGAGGCACTCAATTTGGCACCCACGGTGGAAGTACCGCTGCATGACTGTGAGCAGCCCAACCTCCAGGAACACGTCCTTCTTCCCCCAGATCACCAGTGTGGGTGCCAGCACAGTCTTCTCCTTCACAAAGGGCCTCCTGTGTGGGAGAGAGATAGATGGAGGTGAGAGTTCCCTGGGACACTGGGTCATAAAGCAGCCCCCACCCTTCCCCAGGGATCTCTGGTGCAGCCCTGAGTCTCACAGAGCTGAAGGCTCTGTGCTGGAAGCTGCTTCTCTCGGGGGCACCTGTACCCCACAGCACACAGTGGGGAGAGTCCAGATGCGAGGGGGGACCCTGGAGGGTGATGCATCTGCTGGGCATAGCTCGGAAAGGACCACAGCCTCCTTTGCAGTACAGTAAGTTTAGATTGGATATCAGGAAAAACGTCTTCACTGTTATAGTAGTGAGGTGGTGGGAGAGTAGCCTAGGGAAGTTGTGGACTCTCCGTTACTGGAAGTGTTCAAAAGAAGTTAGACAACCACTAGTTGGGGATGATGTAGGTGTAGCAATGCCCATATTCTACTATGGGGTATTTCCAGGTTTCTGGGCATCACTGGTTGCTCCCGCCACACCTTTCTGCTATGTTTTGGGGGTATTTAAGCCTCCCTCAGAGGTACTGGGCATTGGCTACAGCCCCGGCTGGGGATGGTGACTGGGCTGTGCCAATGTTCCTACTGGGACTCAATTCCAGAGGTACCTGGCTAGTGGATTTTGCCTCTCTGCTCTTGGTCAGAGCAATCCTCATATTTGGGGTCAGGAAGGAATTTTCCCCCATGGGCAAATTGGTGTGAACTCTGGGGGGTTTTGCCTTCCTCTGTAACTGGGCTGGGCCAGGAAAGGGCTGTGACCAGACGAGCTCAGAAGCAGCATCATGCAGCCTTGACCAGGCCCCGCGTCCCTTGCTGCCCAGGTGCTGCTGCCCACTAGCCTCCTGCCTCCTGCCTGTTGCAAAGGCTGGTGAGAACATGGCAGCCCCCCTCTCTCTGAGTGCAGGGGACCCAGGGTGTCACCCCAGCCTGGTGTAGGGGCCAGATACCCCCAGGGAGGAGGCAGGTCCTACCTGAAGAGGCCCCTGTAGTAGTTAAGCGCTGCGGTCACCCTGCCTGGCTGGGAAAGGCCGCAGATGTAAGCCTCCAGCTCTTGCTCCGTGTGGCACTGCTGCAGGTTCTGGATTCCTGCAATCCTGCTGCTCATGAACCACTTCAGCAGCTGCAGCGGGACAGACACAACTGAGGTGATGGGGGCTGGGGCCAGCTACAGGTCCACACCCCAGTCCCTGCCAGCCACTGAGCTCCAGCTGGGGCAGGGAGCCCCAGACAGCACAGATACCCAGTGCCACAGCCTCTCCTCCCCCCCGCCCCAGGGCACCAACCACTCAACTGGCTACTGGTACCAGCCCAACTGGCTGGGCATCCCTTGCCTCACACCCTGTTCACCCTGACTTGGCCTCAGGAAGGCTTCTAGGGGTACATGGACTCAACGGCCCAGCTGAGCCACACTTGGGAGGGGAACAGTCCATTCAGCCCCATCAGCGACTCCCAGGCATTTGCTGGATCTCCCCAAGCAGGTCCTACCATGGGGCCATCTGGTCTGGGCCAGGACCCCACCAGGGAGGGCAGAGCCACCCCCTCCTCAGGGCACAGGGTGGCTCTGCTCGGCCAGTGTCAGATGGTGAGGGCATGTCAGATACCCTTCGGTGGGAGAGGGGGACACCAGGGGCAGGGCTCCCAGTAGGGCAGGGAGGGAACAGCCACCCTGTGGGCAGGGGAAACCTGCTAGTGATGGAGCTAGAGCGGCTTCTGCAGGAGAGGGTGACATGCAGCTGTGAGAGCAGGGGCTGGACTCTGATCCAGGGACAACTCCATTCAGTGGGATCCCAGGGCTCAGCCAGCACAGCACCCCACCCACTGCAGATCTCCTGGGGGCTTTCCAGTGGGGGGAAGGTCAGACTCTCTCTGAAACCCCTGCCCTGCTCTCACCGCAAAGTCACCCAGGGACAAGATGAGCTCAGCGTAGCCCTGCAGCTGGAACAGGAACATGTAGGAGGAGCGCAGCAGCTGCATGGGGTGGCAGATGGAGTACTCTGTTGGGGAGGGACAGATAGAGGCCGTGAGGCCACAGAGTCATAGGAGCAGAGAAAATTAGGGCTTGAAGGGAGCTCAGGAGGTCATTTAATCTAACCCCCTGATGAAAGCAGGATCATCCCCAAATATATCATCCCAGCCTAGGCTTTGTCTAGCTGGATCTTAAAAACCTCCAAGGATGGAGACTCCACAACCTCTGGGTAAGCTGTTCCAGTGCTTCATTACCCTCTTGGTAAGAAAGTTTTTCCTCATGTCTAACCTAAACTTCCATTGCTGCAACTGGAGACCATTGCGCTTTGTTTTATCTGCCACCACTGAGAACAGTTCAGCTCAGGGGGAGGCAATTATTTGGGCCCGAGGGCCACTTAGGGAGTTTGGGTGAGCTGTTATGGGACAGGTCAGCACCCCACCCCCTCCTCCCAGCTACAATTCACCTAAATTCCTTAAGTGGCCTTCCAGTCCAAATAATTGCCCACCCTGGGCAGAGAGAACAAAGGTTGGGGGAATCTAACCTTTGTTCCCCCTTCTCCCTGCATCCCCTTCTCCACCCTGGGTCCCCAGCACATTGCTGGGTCAGGCAGGAGCTGCGCCAGCTGCATCCACGTGGCCTGAGGCAGTGTGTGGGAATACAGTGCAGCACTGGCCTGGCCCAGCAGCATGTTGGGGACTTGGGGAAGGGGAAGGGGTGCAGGAAGAAGGAGACTTGGAGCTGTGGATTATCTGGACCTGGCCAGGGCCAGTGCTGCACTGTTTCCCCCTTCTCCGTGCATCCCCTCCCTCGCCCTGAATTCTCAGCACACAGCTGGGCCAGGCTGGTGCCGTGCTGTGTTCCCACGCGCCACTTCAGGCCACATGGGTGCACCTGGTGCAGTTCCTGCCTGACCTGGGCACACGCCGGGGACTCAGGGTTGGGTAGGAGCTGTGCCATTCGCTCCAGCTGCTCCTACATGGTGCAACCCAAAGTGGCACATGGGAACACAGCAGAGCACTGGTGCCCACACCCCTACCAGGCCCCAGCCCAGCAGAGCCCAGATAACCCACAGCTCCTGGTCTTCTTCCTCCTGCACCATCTCTTCCACCTGTGAGGAGGACCTTACTTGAGTTTCAAATCTCTGGATGCAGGGTGGGAGGGAGGCGCAAACAGCCTCACCAGACTGAAGTCTGGCCAGGAGCTCAGCACCCCCTGCCCTGGAGCTTACATTGTAGCTGGGGGTCGGGACAGGGCGAGCCAGCTGGGCAGGGGAGGTTTGGGGAGGGAAGTGGCTGCTGTAGCCAGCTGGCATGGGGAAGGGAGAAGGGTGAGAGGCACCGAAGGCCAGGGCAGCTGCAGGCCAGATACAATTCTCTTTCAGAGGAGCAGCCGCAGGCCGGGTAAAATCATTTAGCAGGCTAGATCCGGCTCACAGGCCGTATTTTGCCCAGCCCTGGTCTAGTTTCAACCTCTTTGGAACCACTCATCAGGTAGTTGAAGGTTGCTATTAAATCCCCTCTAGTTTTCTCTTCTCCAGACTAAATAAACCCAGTTTCCTCAGCCTCTCCCCAGATGTCATATGCCTCAACTCTCACACCATCTTCATTGCTCTCCACTGGACTCTCTCCAATTTGCCGACAGCCTTTCTGTACTGGACATAGTACTCCAGATGTGGCCTCATCTGTGCTGAATAGAGGGGAAAAATCACTTCCCTTGATCTTCTGGCAATGGTCCTACTATTGCCATTAGACTTCTTGACAACAAGGGCACACAGGTGGCTCACATCCAGCTTATTGTCCACTGTAACCCCCAGGTCCTTTTCTGCAGAGCTGCTGCTTAGCCAGTCAGTCTCCAGCCTGTACCAGTGCATGGGATTGTTCTGTCCTAAGTGCAGAACAATCGTTCACACAAGGACTTCACACCTGTTCTTGTTGAACCTCATGAGATTTCTTTTGGTCCAATCCTCCAATTTGTCAAGGTCGCTCTGAATCCTAGCTCTACCCTCCAATTCATCTACCACTCCCCCCAGCTTGTTATCACCCAAAAACATGCTGAGGTTGTACTCAATCCCATCTTCCAGATTGTTGATGAAGATATTGAACAAACCTGGCCCCAGGACCAACCCCTGGGGCACTCCACTTTCTGGGAAGACCCAGAGCCGTGCAAGCTGGGCATGGCCTCACAAAGGGCTAGGTCAATCTGGGCCAGGCAAGGTTCTCTGTGCCTAGCAACTGGGCAGCCAAGCCAAAGCTAGGGTCAGCCCCAGGTACTGTGCCTGGTACAGGTGGGGGTCCCCCTTGTCCTGGAACCACCCTGCCCATCACTGCCCCCCTTCCTGCTCTGCTTGACAGCCTGCATGCCTGGAATGGCCCATGACACAAGACTTGTCCCCTCTCCCACTCCCCTACACTCATTGGGTTCCCAACAGCCCCAGTCTCTTCAGTGGGTGCAGTGGGGCCAAGTCCCTGCTACACCCATTGCCCTGGAGTTGCCTTCTTCACTGACCAGAGTGGTTCCTTCCTCCCCCACACACCAATACCACCCACGACTCCCAGCAAAGGGAGGATCCTCTGAATTCATACCCAGGTTCCCCTGCTTCAAAGGCTGTGGCCCAGAAGTTGGGACAGAAAAATGGGGATCAAGCTCCAGCCCTTGGGGACTGTTTGTCAAGGGTAGGGGGAGCCCTTGTGCTGATAGGCCACCAGGGCCCATCAGCCACCAGGGCTCCTGCTGCTTGGAAAGGCTGGTTTTGCCTCTGCCCTGGTTCTCCTGAGCCTGGGAACATGGGGCAGAGTGGAGAAGAGATGGGGCTCAGGGCATCACCGATCAGTGCAGAGCAGCATGTGGTGTTCATGAGGATCAGCTTCTCCACCAGGTCAGGGTGTTGGGCAGCAAACACCCAAGCGAGGACGCCGCCCCAGTCGTGTCCCACCACAATGGCTTTGGAGGAGCCTGCAGAGATGGATGGAGAGACAGGCTACCAGGGCAGAGTGGGGATAGCAACACAGAGAGGCTGGACTGACCACACACCAAAACCAGGCCAACACCCATTGCTATCAGTGTAAGCCACCTGGGCCTTTTCCCACCTACCCTGGACCTCCCCTCCACAACTGTCTCCCCCTGCCCTGGGGGTGCTACACAGGGAACATGCTCTGCCCTCTCATTAGCCAACCAAGAGACTTCTCCTCCACTACTCCCATTATCCACCTTCCCCTCAGTTCCCAGTGAAGTGGGCCCCTCTTCCCCTCACCTGCCCACAGCCCCAGCCTCAGGACACCTGCTCTAGTCAGCATCAAAGTAGCAAAGCCCGTGCTCTGTTATGGGTATTCCCCAGCCTTCTGGAGTTTGCTGCTCAGCAGGTGGGGCTAGGAGAAATGTTTTCCTCTCTTGTGGCTACACATTAGGGGTGCTTTTATTCCTCCCTCAGAGGCATTGGGTGTTGGCTGCAGCCCGGGCCAGGGATTATGACTGAGGTGCTTCAATGCTCCTGACAGGTCTTAAACCCTGATATTCCTGACTCTTCCATTCAGGGTCAGACTGAACACCATATTTGCGGTCAGGAAGGAATTCTACCCCATGGTCAGATCAGGTTGGACTGAGTGGGTTTTGCCTTTCTCTGTAGTGGGGGCATGGCCCTCTTCCTTGGGTCTCTCAAGCATATCTTAACAACACTTGAAGCCATAGGATATTGGCTGATCTGGTCTTGCTGCTTTATGTGTGGCAGGGGGATACAAGAGGCTGAGCCCCAAGAGCTTAAATCTTAAGTGTAGCATTAAACCCAAATGGCCCCTGGTGGGTGGGGGGACACAGGGCCCACACCACAAGATACCCCCATCGTCAGGTCTTGACACATGGGTTACAAAAGACTAGATGGGTGACAGAGTGGGTGTCATGCCCTAAACCACCAGGAGCCACTCAGCAGAGCCCAAGCCTTGGCTTTGTCCTTCTATGTGCTCAGGAGAACTTAACCCAGGATGGAGCCCTCCAGTTACAATCCCACAATGCACAGCTACAATCTTACAAGGCTTTTTCAGTTTAGAAAAGGGATGCTGAAGGGGGGGACATGAATAGGGTTTACAAAATATTAAATGGTGAAGAGAAAGTCACTATGGATTTATTACTGACTGTCTCACCAGACAAGAACCAGACATCACAGCATGAATCTAGTGGCTAGGAAGCTTAATACTAACACAGGGAAGTTCATTTCCCCCAGGGTGTCAGTAAAGGGTGGAACTTGTTGCCACCAGATATGGCAGAAGCTGAGAGTTTACCCAAATTCACAAAGGGATTGGACGCATGCTTGGAGAAAAGGGGCATCAGGAGCTGTGGAGCATGGGAATGAGGGCTATGACCTCAGAATCAGAATTTCTCAACCTTAAATGCTGGAGGCTGCAAATAAAAGAGAAACAGTAGAAAAAAATCTATGGTCAGACCCAGTTCACTCTCCCTTTCAGCATCCATTCTCTGCCGCTTTGTGACACAGAACATGGCCCAGACAGACCTAGGGTTTGACCCTGAAATGGCAGCTCTTATGTTCTCGCCACAATCCCTCAATGTATTGCTCCTCTGACTAGTGCAACCATGGGTAGGAAGTCATGGTAGCCAGGGCCTAGCTCCACCCCAGCCCCGTCAGTCACCAGTTACACATCCTGCCTGGCCCAGTCGCTAGCTTCTTCCAACGTCCACCATTTTGCTGGAGGAGAGGCATCAGTGTCAGGGGCAAGGCATGTATCCCATGTTTCATAGTGCCAGGTCTGCTCTAGGACTTGTGCCACTCCTGCAGCATGTTCTCACCCTGCTTGTCCTTGGTACCCAGTATCTCGATGACCTCCCGCACATCCTCCACCAAGAGCGGGATCTCGTAGCTCTCCTCCCCGCTGGGGGCGTCCGAGGCGTTGTATCCCCGCATGTCCAGCGCCACCACCCGGAACCGCTTCCGAAACTCCTGCAGCTGGTGCCGCCAGCAGTACCTGCCACATGCCAGCACACACATATGTGAGTCAGAGCGTGGAGAGGGAGGAGGGGTTGGGCACAAGGGATGTCCTGGTGTGGTCAATGCCACCCATGGGCCATGTTTTAAGTCCCTACAGGAGCCCCTGGACCTGGCCTCTGTGAAGATACTCAAAAAGCCCCTTCAGCTTCCGATCCCCTCACCCAGCAGGAGCCTCTGCCTCCATGGGATCTCTGTCTGGGCATGTTCTACAGCCCAGCCTGGAGCATGTATTGAGGTCCCAGATCATTGTGACCTGGGCCAGGCCTTGCATAAAGCTGAGCTGGACTGGGCTGGACTGCTATTTCCAGACAAGAGTCTCTGTGCTCAACTCCCAGGCAGCCAGACCTAGAGCCAGGGTCAGCCCCAGATACTCTGCCCAGTACAGGTGGGGTCTCCCCCTTGTTCAAGAACCTCCCTGCCCATCACTGACCCCCTTCCCTTCTCTGCGTGGCTGTCTGTGTGCCCATGACACGAGACTTACCCCCTCTCTCGCTCCCTCACATTCACTGGGTTCCCCAGGCTCTTCAGACTGTACATAGGCTAAGTCTCCATTGCACCCATTGCCCTGGGGCTGCCATTCTCCACCCTCCAGAGCACTTGCACCTGCCTCACATGAGCCCTACTGGGCCCCTCCAGCCCCCACCACTCGCTTCCATTGTGAGGCAGGTGCTGCCTTTCTGTTCCAAGCACCTGCAGTGCCTGGCATGTAAGGAGCATCGTTCTGTGGGTCCCTGGAAGGAAAGGGTGTTCACAGAGAAGAGGAAAGCCTCGTGCCCTACCACATCCCAATGTCCCTCTCCTGTCCACCCCAGCCTGGAGCAGCCAGCCAGACCTACCAGTTTTGCGGGAACCCATGCAGTAACAGCATGAGTGGGGCCTCCTCTGGACCAGCTGTGACATAATGCAAGCGCAGCCTTGAGCTCTGCAAGGCAGGGAGGATAGAGAGAGGAGTAGTCATGCCATGCACCTTGTGCCCACCCCACCTGGCCCTGGTGCCCTCCCGTGAGCCACACTGTCTTTGCTGGGAGAGGCAGCAATGCCCATGGCTGGCTTCACCCCAGGGAAGGAACTGTGGCCAAACTGAGCCCCTCCCTCCAGTCCAGACTGTGCAGCAAGGGTCTCAAGCTGGAGGCTTCTGCCTTGGGGCCCCTACCCCAGTCTGGCTCACAAGACCCAGCCACAGCATGAGTGCCGAAACACCGAAGTGTGGCTCCCGGGGCAAAGTCTGCAGTGGCACGCCCCCTTTCTGAGAATGCACGCAGTGGCAGGAGCCACCTTTCCCCCTGCCCGCACCCGCCAAATGAGCCACTCGTGGCTCTGTCCCATGTCCTGACCTGGCTGGGCCGTGCCTTCGCTTCAGTGCGCAGGACAGTCACCTTCCTTGCCTACCCCATAGCTACAGCACTGCACAACACCATAGTGGCCTGCAGAGCCAGGGAACACAGAGGCCTCAGCTGCACTCCCAATTCATCACCATGCTCTCCACATGCACCTCAAGCCGCAGGTAGCAGTGCTTCCCATAGGCAGTGCCCATGAGGCATGATGGGAGGGTCTTCCGCACCCTCCAGTGGAAGGTCTTCAATGGTCCCTTGGTCACCAGCAGCCACAGCACCCACAGCAGGTAGATGGCCCCCACTGGGAGGCAGACGAGGAAAATGCCCACGTGGTACAGGAGGTGGCACATCTGCACCAGTTGTCAGGAGCCAGCAGGAACTGGGAGAGGGACAGCACAGCCCAGGCTGTGGATAAAGAATAGGCATTACTGGGCATCCCCTACATCCTAGATGGATGCTAGAACAGGTCTACATTGCCCCAGACTGCGCTCAGCTCCCTCCCCGGGTCCCCTAGAGCCCAGCACCATACCACACAGAAAGCTATTAAGGGCATCAGTAAGAAAGGGACTAAAAACAAAATAGAGAACAGCATCATACTACGATACAAATCCATTGTGCACCCACCTTTGAATACCATGTGCTGTTTTGGCCTGTGCATCCCAAAAAGGATGTAGTGGAATTAGAAAAGGTTCAGAGAAGGGCAAGTAAAATGATCAGAGGCCTGGAGCAGTTGCCAGATCAAGAGAGACTAGAAAGGCTTGGACTCTTCAGTTTAGAAAGGAGAAGGCTGAGGAGGGATATGATAAAGGCCTATCAAATCATGAAGTCACGCCCAGCAGCCCCTGCTTACATGGCTGGGGCCGGTTTCCATGGAGACCCCAGCAGCCATGCTGTGATAATACAGGGCAGGGTTTCCATGGAAACTGGCCACAGCTGTGATGGCAGGTTGCGTGGAAAGGCAGGGAGCTGCTTTGGGGCTGGGCTGGGATCTTGCAGCAGTGACAGCGTGGTCTGGAACCAGGGCAGAGCTGCCCGCCAGAGCTGCCATTTTGCCCATCCCTGCTCTATTCCAAGGTTGCCCCACACCTTTCCCAGCCCTTCCTCATGCACACCTCTCCTGAACCCACTCCAAAATGTATGCAGCCTACATGCAACAAACAACTGAATCTCAACAACACAGCTGCTCACGGCTTTGATAGCCTCCTCCTACCAGGAAGGGCTGATTCAGCTCCTTCCTGTGTAGAACTGGGTGTGCCCAGTTTGCAGCCCACGGGTGTGGGAGATGTCCACTTTCCACAGCCCGGGTGTAGGCAGAGGTGTGTGGGTGCCCCCCCTCCCGACAGGCCAGTTGGGAGTCCAGGCCAATATGAAGGGGAGTGTGGATGACTGAGGGTCACTGCAGAGGCTCTGACCTGCCCCCTTTCTTCTGCAGGTAAAGCAGGAGGAAAAGGACTGGCTGCAAGAGTTGTTAAAATGCACTCAAGAGATCTAAGGAAGAGCTTCAGTGAGGGCAGGGAGCAGGAGGGAACGGGGTGGGAAGGTGCTGGGGCCTTCAAGGCTTCGGCCTTCTCAGCTGGCCCCGCCAGCCATTGGCTCCTAAGGATCTTTTCACAATAAGCACCCTGGGCACATTTCACCTGCTGCCTGGGCACAATGCCAGGGGGTTCCTCCCCTGCTCCCCCACTTCTTTTGCTGCTGCCAGCCTGGGGATCACAGAAGCATATCAGCATGGATTCACCAAAGACAAGCCATGCCTGACCAACCTGACTGCCTTCTATGATGTGACGACTGGCTCTGTGAATGCGGGGAAAGCAGTGGATGTGATATGCCTTGACTTTGATATGGTCTCACACAACATTCTTGCAAGCAAGCTAAGGAAGTCTGGGTTGGATGAACAGGTGAAGAGAAAACTGACTAGATCATCAGGCTTAAAGGGTAGCAATCAATGGCTCACTGTCTAGTTGGCAGCTGTAATCAAGTGGAGTACCCCAGACGTTGGTCCTGAGGCTGGTTTTGTTCAATATCTTCATCAACAACCTTGGTGGGATGGAGTGCACCCTCAGCAAATTTGCAGATGACACTAAGCTGGGGGGAGCAGTAGATACACTGGAGGGTAGGGTTAGGATTCAGAGTGACATAGACAGATTGGAGGATTGGACTAAAAGAAATATCCTGAGATTCAATAAAGACAAGTGCAAAGTCCCTCACTTAGGACGGAACAATCCCATGCACCAGTACAGGCTGCGAAGCGGCTGCCTAAAGAGCTGCTCTGCAGAAGTGGACCTGCAGGTTACAGTGGACAATGTGCTGCATGTGAGCCAATAGTGTGCCCATGTTGCCAAGATGACTAACAGCATACATGTCTGCATTAGTAGGACCTTTGCAAAAGATCGAGGGAAGTGATTCTTCCCCTCCATTTGGCATTAGTGAGGTCACATCTGGAGTCCTGTGTCCAATTTTAGGCTCCCCCACTACAGAAAGGATGTGGACAAATTGGAGAGAGTCCAGTGGAGGGCAACAAAAATGGTTCAGGGGCTGGGGCACATGACTTCTGAGGAGAGGCTGAGGGACCTGGGTTTATTTAGTCTGAAGAAGAGAAAGCCGAGAGGGGATTTAAGCAGCCTTCTACTACCTGAAGGGAGGTTCAAAAGAGGATGGAGCTAGACTGCTTTTAGCGGTGGAAGATGACAGAACAAGGAGCAATGGACTCAAGTTACGGTAAGGGAAGTTTAGGTTAGATATTAGGAAAGACTCTCTCACTAGGAGTGTAGTAAAGCACTGGAATAGATTACCCAGAGCGGTTGTGAAATCTCCATTCTTGGAGGTTTTTAAGACCTGAGTAGACAAAGCCTTGGCTGGGATGATCTAGTTGGGGATGGTCCTACTTTGAGCAGGGGGTTGGGACTGGATGACCTCCTGAGGCCCCTTCTAAATCTAATTTTCTATGATTTTAAAAACAAGCAAGAGAACACCACTGGTGGGAGGCACTGTTGTACTGGTGTCCATCCACTATGGGGATACTTAATGTTGCACCCTATTGTTTTCATTTTGATAGTTTAAGTTGTTAGTATTATTAGTATGATAGTAATGTTAGTGACTATAAAGTTCATGTACACTAAGCTAATGGTGTTGGCCCAGCATTACACAATAACAGACATGGTTAAAAGAGGATGTGGTTTAACTGTCCAAGACCACAGGATGTAGCCAGCAGCCTGACAGGAAGACAACTGCTGTAAAATTGACTGGTAAATATTTATGACATAACAGTATATGTGACATACAGAAGAGAGTTGTAAAAAAACTATATAAAAACTTAGAAACAACAACTATTTGAACCAGTGTGCTATGATGGATGTCTGGCCAGCTGAAATCATTGCATCCATCGGAAAGCTTGCGTAAGAATATCTATAATAACTGTTAGGGCTTTCTTAGAAGTTGGATGTTGTATTTAAAGCCTTGCCTAAATATTGGTATTGCTTATATGTTTAATAAATTAGGATTTGAGACTGGAATAGTTTCACTGATCATTTCCTTTACATTCTTCCACCCCTTAACTAAATTTACTACAACGGTCGGCACTTGCTGCACCAGGAACACTGAGAGACCCCGGGGACAGTGACATCCAAGCTCTGCTGCCACGTGGGATAGAGGCGGCTGCAGCTGGCGCTCTCAGTGCCCATGGACACTGCAGCAGGGTGTGGATGGGCAGATGCCAGACCTGAATCAGCTCCAGCCAGGAGCGAAGGGAAGATGGCACTGACTGACATGGGAAGGGCACACACTTTGGCCCAAAGCCAATCTCAGCTGGAAGGTGGTAACCAGGGACTCATCGCTGTGGCCTGCTCCGTCTCCAACCCAGTGTGTCCCAGGGTGCATCACCCAGGAGCTCCCCACAGAGACTGTGCAAGGGAGCATCAGCTCCGAGGGGATACATCCCAAGGCCTCACCCCATCTCTGTGATTCTGCCACCAGCCTGGGCATGCTTCACCTGCCTCTGCCAGGGGGTACACCCTGGGGCCTCACTCACAGGCCAACGGTGCGGTCACATCAGTCCAATGGCAGGATCTTCCCTGTCTGCCCCAACCCGCACAAGCAGGGGTCTGACCTGCTCTTATACATTCTAGGAACAGTCCTCACCTATGGCACGGAGCATGCAGCCAGGGTATGAGCACAAAAGAAGAAATACTTCCCGCCGCTCCTACACCCTTCCCCCCGGCTTCCACATATGCCTTTAAGTAGCTGCAAGACTGGGACCTGCCCCATGGTGCCACAGCCAGATTTCTCATGGCCACAGCTGGCAACATGTAAGAAAGGGGTTTGCACATGTGTCAAACATCCCCTGCAGTCACTGCTCAGCTTTGTGGCTCTCCTCAGACTCAGCCCAGCCTTGAAGCGCCAGGCAATACAACCAGACCACAGTCCCCAGCCCCACTCCTCAAGCCCAGGACACGGATGAGACAGGCAGGCGCTGCCAGGGGAGGTGCGGGGTGGAAAGAGCCAGCAACTGAGGCCTGTGTCACAAGAGCTGAATGGCAGGCACCATGGGCACCCCGTAGCCCTGGGACTCCCTGTTACACATCCTTCCCCACCTTCAAGCCTTAGCCACCTTCAACTGACTGCCATGGCCCCCACCCTGTTCCCCCATCACAAAGCAGCCCCCTCCAGCCCAGCTTACCTGTCGTTCCAGCCTGGTATCTTCTGCACCCAAGCCAGAGATGGAAACAGCTTTTACTCTGCTTGGTGACTTCCCATATCCCTTCCCAGCCCTGCCTGGCTCCACCTCTTCTTCAGCTACAACCGGCTTGAGGAGGCCCCAAGGTCACACCCACGGCACTGTTTTCACACCCTGCGGTGGCGGTTTTGCTGCTCCTGTGGCAGGGCACTTGATGTGCCTGCCCCTGGCAGGTGAGGGTCAGGGCTGATTGCATTCACCTGACCCAGGGGCCGGTAGGTGAGGCTAGGCCTGGGCAAGGAAGTCACTGCCTTGTGGGTTACCCCATGGAGGAGAAGGCTAGGGGAGCACACCCCAACAGAAAGCGCTTGCCAGGCAGACCAGATCAGTGGTACATGGAATGTACCTCTAAGAGGCCTGCGGTGGAACGCTCCCATTTTCCCCTGGACGTCCCATGGGTGCAGTTTGTCGGCGTGTGGTTCCCCCTGCAAGCTGTGAGTGTGTGTGATGCTGAGTAAAGATAAAGCTGTTTATCATCCCACCTCTTGCTGCTGGATGCTGACTCGAGGACAGACCACCAGGGGCATGGAGGTCTAAGCAAGTACCCCATCCCTGCAACCCAATGGCCTAGAGTAAACATTATAGGGCCCATGTGGGTCCAGTGGCCCAGTGGGGCCTGAGGATTATAGTGGGGTCCAGCAAGCATACTGGGACCAGAAGGGTCCAACGGCCCAGAGAGAGGCCAAAGATAAGAGCGCAGGGCCGGTTGGGTCTGAGGGCATGGAGAGCAGCTGAGAAAGTGAAGAACAAAAACGGTCTAAGACAAGGTACCAAGACAGGAGCTGACAGCTCGGAGAGGGACCAGCAGAGAGACTGAGGGGCCCAGTAGTCCAGGGAGTGGTTGGGTGAGACCAAGGAGTCTGAGGGCCCAGAGAGGGGCTGGAGGAGAGACCAAGGGGTCTGGCAACCGGAGTGGGGCTGAGAGGCTGAGGGGTCGGAAGGCCCAGTAAGGGGCTGTATCAGCAATTGGTTGCACACCTGTGAGGCTGCATCTGTGAGGCATGATGCATGGAATAGGGAAAGTATGGAGCCATGCAATTGGCCCACAGGTCCATGACCACAATCTGAGTGGTCATTATTAGGGATTCAGGGTTTCTGTTTCCCATGGGAAAATGGAGAAAAACACAGATTTCCCCCAAAACACAGATTTCTCATTTTAGCAGAGCGAATTTTTTGCACTTTTGCAAGAATCTGTGATTTTTTTATTAGGGAAAATGAGGATCCCTGGTAATAAGCAAACAGGAAGGAAAAGACAATAAAATCAAAACAGACTGATCCCTTAAGAGCAGAATTGTGGCATAGACTTCTTCTGTATGAGAAAAAAGAAGGTATAGACCGGTTACTGACTACTGAGCTGCTCCAGAGATTGGCGAACCATGAAGAAAAGGTGAATGACGGGAAGCAAGAAAAAAAGAGGAAGAGTAGTGCACCTCCTGAAAGTCACTATTAGTGCAGCCTGGTGTCTCCAGTGCACTCCATTTTAGCATTGGCACCTATCACAGTATAATTGGGGATGCCTGACAAGAAGAGTGAAATTTAATCTGTGGGAAAAGGAGACACGGAGGCAGGAAATGTTAATTGATACAGGTGCCTCATTTTTCATTGTAAGTAATGAAAAGGAGCCTTTTTAAATTTTGGAGCAGGCAGAAGAAAAAACTTTGAAGGGTTTGATGGTAAAGAAAGTCTAACTGTTTTCAGTGGAAAAGCAGTTCATAGTGTAGGGATCAGAATCAGGGGATGATTGTACACATGACAGCTCAGTAAACTAAATGGGTTTATTTTATGCCTCCAAAACTGACACGGTGTGTTTTAAATCATTCCATCACTGTGTACAAGTGACAGCTCTGAAATCAAGTAAATCTCAGTGCACTATTTACAGTAAATTACAGCAGGGGGCATCACATAACAATCCGCCCAGCTGATCTCTTTGGTACTCAATTACAGCAGGGGGCACTGCCAAACCACTGATCCCTGCTACAGACAGGTCACTGATGTGCAGCTTACAGGTCTCTGACATATACAGTTCACCAAAACTGTTGTGATTTCATTCATTTAAGAAATTTAATTAAGTGTTGTTTCCCTAATTTCATTACTTTTTTAACATGTATTTTTAAACTGCTGCTGCATGGGGTGAGGATGTGGCTCCCCTGCCCTACAGTTCGGGGGCTGCCCAGCCCCCTGGCAGTTTGCCCCCTGGCTATTGGGGTGGTGTTCAGGCTCTGTTGAAAGAAGGATTGGGTCCGTTGCCCAGAGGTGGATTAAGATTTATTGGTGCCCTGGGCAAACAGAAAGTTGGGGGCCCCTCACACCCCATTTTAAAAATGAATGTATCAAAAAGCATTAATAAATAGACCAGTTAAATGTTTACATGCTGCATTAATAAATAAAGCACAACATGCAATGTCAAGATTAACTACTCATTTTGCCATAGATCAGTGTCCTGGTGCTTCAAAATGGTGGTGGGGGCGCTTGAACTAAAGTTAATTGAACAAGCTTTAGTTCAAGCACTGCCACCACCATTTTTTAAGCGTGGGCACACTGACACGTGAGAGACTGTGGCACTTTAATTAGAGCGCCACTCCCCTGACCCTCGGAGCACATGTAAAAGTGTGAAGGGGCAGCTGCCTGAGCTTGCCCAGCAGGGCTGAGGCCAAGGGGAAAGGTGTGAGCCTTCCTGGCTGCCCAGGGCCAGGGGATCTCTGGGCCAGGCTCCCCACTCTCCTCCCTGGGCAGGGTTTGTTAAAGACTATATATGGCTACAGTGTTTTAGGCACCTTGAGACAAGAGAGGCAACAAATGTTGGGTGTTACTATTTGAAGCCCCCTGTAGTCTCATCAGTGGGAATTTCTTCTTTGCTTTGAACACAATAAGGACATCAGTTATCTGCCAATTGGTTAAGTACACAGACTACTTAAATGTTTTAATTTCTTTGAGCCCCGCTGCCTATCTTTTGTATCCAGTAGGTTGATGAAGTGAAGTTCATAGGCTACTCTGTGAAAGATGTCTTGTAAATTCCCTTTGAGGATTGGATTTATGGCACATTATAACCTGCCTAACATCTGATACCCCAGCCAAGACACAGGCACAAGACACAGGCACAGAAGCCGCCCAACTCATGTCCCACCACAATGGCCTTGGCATAGCCTGCAGACAGCCAGATGGACAGATGGAGAAACAGCCCATCAGAGAAGAACAGCACTAGTAGCACACAGGGGCTAGACTGGCCACACACCCTGAACCAGGGCAGGATCCACTGTCATAGGGGAACCCCTCTTCCCCTCCACCCCATTTACCCACCCCTTCCCCACTATCTGGCAAACCCCTGGCACTCAGATCCTTCCCTGTGCTCTGATGGAAACCTGCTCTGAGTCTGAGGGGCTCTAGCACCTGGTACTTGCCGAAGAAGCCTGAGATGCAGGAGGTGACGTTTGACCTGAGATGTCCTAGTAGGCAATGGGGCATAAGGCCTGCTCCACAGGATCTGCTCCAGGGTCACACCCCACATCACCAGAGAATAAGGGGCACCTACCTGGGCTACAAAGGATCAGCCACTAATGGTTGTCAGCCCTTGGACAACCGAATCTCCCCCCCAGCTCCCCCTCAGAACCTGCCTCCATGGGCACTGGCCAGCACAAAGACCTGCTCCACTTGGGGCTCTGTGAACTGAACCCCCTTCCCTCACCTCACCTCACCCTACCCTGGAAGCACAACCCCTGATAACATCCCTCTCTGTACCCAGGAGGACCTGAACCCAGTGCAAGGACCACTAACTACAATCCACAATGCACCATTCCTCCTGGTGCTCCAAAGACAAGCTTCTACCCCTGCAATGTATCCTCACCATCCTCTTCCTTGGTTCCCAGTGTCCCAATGACCTCTCGCACATCCTCTGCTACAATCTTCAAGTCATAGTACTTCTTCTCACAGGAGGCATCTGAGGCACCGCAGCCCCGCAGGTCCAACGCCACCACCTGGAACTGCTTCTGGAACTCCTGCAGCTGGTGGCACCAGCAAAACCTGCCATACACCAGCACATGTGTGCTCAGGTCAGCTGCTTGGGTCAGCTCCTGGCCTCCTTTGCCAAAGCCACTCCCTGATCCAGCTGATTCCAGAGGGTCTGGCTGCCCCTTGCCATGGGTCAGTCCAAGGAACTGGGAGCCTTGGAGTCACTGCCTCTAATCCAACCAGCCCACTCCACACCCCACCTCCCCTCTCCTTTGCAGTCACCAAGGGCCCCTGACTGGCCACAATGCTATCTACCCCCTTGCTACAAGGCCTCTGCCTGGCAAAGGGACTCCCACAGCTGGCAGGGCACAAGGGGCATCAGTGGCTGGTCAGCCCTATCCATGGGCATTTCCCAGGCTTTTGGACTCTGCTGGTTGCTGCATAGGGCTGGAAACAACCCCCACTTCATGAGCCAGGGTGTTTTTAAGCCTCTCTCAGAGGCATTGGGTGTTGGCTGCAGCCAAGGCTGGGGATTGTGACCAGATTGTGCCAATGCACCTGCTGGGACTTGCACTCAGAGGTTCCTGTGCTCAGACTCAGACCAATTGCCAGATTTGGAGTCAGGAAGGAATGTTACTCCATAGTCAGATTGGTATGGACTGGAGTGGGGATTGCCCTCCTCTGTAGCTGGGGGCATGGCCCTCTACCTGGGATCTCTTGATCATATTTTGACAACCTTTGCAGAAGCAAGACATTGGCCACCATCAGACGGTCACCCCCTTTTCAGTTCTTTCTCCACTCCTACCATCTGTGAGAGCCAAGGTCCTGATCTATGGAGCCCCACTTTATTCACAGTGACAATAAAACTCCTGTGCTTCTTCCACCACCCCAGTCCCTATGTCCCTTCCCTGCCTACCCCAACTTCAGAGTGGCCAAACAGACTTACCAGTTCTGGGGGGACCCATGCAGGAACAGCAAGAGGGGCGCCTTCTCCGGGCCAGCCGTGACATAGTACAAGCATAGCCCTGAGCTCTGCAGGGGAGGTAGGACAAAGAGAAGGAACAGTCAAACCATACATCC